CTTGTTATAATACAGAATGGTTTCTGTATTATAACAAGCTAAAAAACGTGGTTCTGCAAAATATTTTAATAGAAATCGAATGAAATCGAAACCTCACGATAGACACGATAATGGATTACTTTGGGGGCCTATCCTGGTCGCATGGGACACTTTTAGAATGGGAACTTTTTATGTTAGACTCTAGGAAACTTAAAACGCAAGTTAGTAAATTTAAAACTTAGTTACTCGATGTGTATAACGAAAGTGTTGGAATTTGAAGCCACAGACGCCGGCCTAAGATGCGGCTTTTTATTAAGAAAAGCGCGTTTTTTTAAAATTATTCTCCGCGGAGCTTATTTTGGTATTTCAAGAGCGAAAGTTTTTTCAAAAAAATAGTATCGTTAGAAAGGAAAGATTTATCATTGTTTTTTCTTTATGGTTGAGATAACTATTTTTTACTTAAGTATAGTCATTAAAGTTACAATTTTGTTTAATTTTTTTTTGTGATTATTTTTTGTTATTTTGAGTTTTTATGAGTTCCATTAAAAAAAGCTCATCTTAGGGAACTAGTTCCTTAAGAAGAAATCATTAGGTGTATTTAAAATAACGCAATTTTTGGTATAAAGATTTACTATTTTCCATCAATTCATTGATATTCTTTAAGAAGAAAGATTAAATTATCATTATTCTTAAAAATATATATATCTTTTTGTAATCTTTTGAGAGCAAAATACATTACACTGAAAACATGCTCAACTTACGCAACCTTCGTATCAAACGAGTTTCGTTCGCTTGCAAACAATTTTTTTTATGTTTATAACCTTTTTTCGCTTATGATAATTAAAAACTTAAAAAAATTTTAAAACTATATTGGGAAAATAAAACTCAAAAATAAGAAACTTTCTTTAACTTGCCCATTTGCTTGATTTCTTATATATATATAAAAAAAAACATTTATGACAGTAAATTGTAAAATATTTTTTTCATGAAATCATTATTTAATAAAATTCAAAAATTTAGCGATAAGTCTGTTTGGTATTCAAATGAGTTGAAGTAAAAAAATTTACCGCGAAGAAGTAAAGAATCGAACATTATATAAAAAAAATAATGATGAAACCCCTATATAGAACAAAACAAATCAACAGCGTCACGATAAGTTCTCAATTCTTTGAAATTAACTATTACTATTTACAGAAACACCAACAAAAATTGATATGTTTTTAACAGTTAAAATAAGTTATTTTTATGAAAAAAAATGGTTTTCTCAACTCGTCAATATTGCAACATACCTAACTTGTTAGTATGCCATCAAAGGAAAAAGTCACCATTTTCACTTAAACAAGATATGCCTGCCTAGTTAAAAAGATAAAATTAAAAAAATTATTCCACTGAACGCACAAAACTTAAAAAATATGCATGAAAATTTCATTTCTGTACAGTTAATAATAAAATCAAAATCTTAAATATTTAAAGGGATTAAAAATACAATAGGACATCCCAAAATCAATTTTTGTTGATTATAAAAACAATATTTGTGCATAAGGGATGTATTTTACTAAAAATAATGTAAAGTCAGTATAGACATGATGGTCTAATCACTTTTTTGCCCTAACCAATATTTATGGAAATATGACCGGTATGCCATCATAGGCGCCTTTACCCTATATTGATATTCACTCATATATAATAAAGAAATTTTAAAATTAGCTGATCCTAGTATTTTGAATGCAGTTGTAAATGGCATGGTGCAAGCAGTTAAAAATGGCATAATTTCAATTTTGCAAACAATAATTTGCCTACTTTTACAATATGTCTAATTTATCTGCTTTTAATAATTTGAGTTTAGTGGAATTATTGCTTTTTTATTTGGTTCATAATGACACCAAAAAGTCCTAGCAGTTGTTAATTTTACATAATTACTAGCTTATGTCACTTTCTTAAAACACCAAAATTATAAACTAGACCAATAATGCAGCAAAATAATTAAAAACTGTTTTATGTATTTAAAAGATTAAACACATAGTTAGTAACTAGTTTTTAGATTTTTTACAGTTCCAGGGCTCTTTTTTATTGTTCTTGAAACTACGACATAATCCATATAAAATGAACCTAAAACATAAAATTTTTTACTTAACATCATGAAAGTTTCAGTTTATAATTATTTTTTAAACTAAAACTCATTATATTTGGATGATTGGATAGCAGTTTTAGTTTCGTAGTAAAATGAACCTGGACAGGGCCGGCGCGAGTAGGTGTCACGTGGGGGGGGGGGGTGCCATTACAACTTTTGGTGACTAAAAAAAAAAAAAAAAAAAAAAAAAAAAGGTCATGACAACATTTGCCGACTGTCTAACCGGTATCGAAAGGGAGTCCACCCGACTAACTACGTCCAATTTGCCGACTAACTACGCCCAATTTGCCGACTAACTACGTCCAATTTGCCGACTAAGGGTCACATTTGCCGACTAAAGGTCCAGTTTGCCGACTGAAAATCATTGATGGGGGGGGGGGGTGTTACACCCCCCCCCCCCACACCCCCCTATCGCGCCGGCCTTGGACCTGGACTATCTGCTAAGCTTGAGCCTCTTTCTCTGTCGTTTTTACTTTTTTATTTTTAAAATTATTCTGCTGGAAGATTGTTAGTAACAAATTATTTTATTGCTGAAGTTTTTGATTTGTTTTTGTTTTTATATTTATACTGTCTTTATGTCTTTTATCATTTATTGTGCATGTAAATGTTTGTGTGACGGGGCTCGGTGATAAGACAACCCGTCTTCTTCTTGCTCCGGCCAGGATTTTATTTTATTTTAATTTCTTTTTTGTAATATTTATCAACGGCAAAATAAATAATAATAAATAAATAATATATTTTCACTGATTACATACCGAAGAAACAAAAATTATCGTATACAGACCCTTTTTCGCATTTATTTGATTTTATGCTTTTGTCAATCAATAAATAATTACATGTTTTTTTTTTCATAACCATTTGAAACTTTTGAAACAGCCTCGGGTATAATTATGTTTAATTTAGAGTTATTTCTTCAGGTATATGAGATATGGTACCAAGTCTATATTTCTAGATTCATAAGTACCCAACAAAGTTTTCAGAGAATATATTTATTGTTCCGAGAATTAATTTAAAATTAAGTTTTTATCGAATTCAATATCGAGGACCTTCTGAAAAACTCCGATAAAAAATACTACTCTCTAGAAAAATTTAAAACAGGTTCAAAAAGAATCATACTTTTAGTATATTTCAATACAATAGACTTTCAATATTTTTTTTAAAAGGTAATTTTAAAATAGAATAAACGCTTCTATTAGCACTAAATTTATTAAATTGTTAAATGCATCATATTTTTGTTGTAATAATGTGTTAACTTGTTTTTATATAACGAGTATTTGTAAATTTATATAATGAGAAATTTGTTAAAAGTACTTTACGCTTACTATAGGGGCTTGATGACAAACTTCTACTTTATTATTATTTATTTAAGTTTTATTGATTAAGCAAACTTGAGTGTTCTACAAATAAATGCATCAAGTATATTTGTATTAGTATACAAAACTTTCTTTATTTTTTTACCAATATAAAAGTCATTTTAATATTTGACCAAAGTTATTTACTTTTTTACGTTATTAGTTATATATATAAACACGGACAATATGTAAAAAGGGCTCGGTGATAAGACAGTTAATGTCTTCTTCTTGCTTCGGCCAATTTTTATAAATGTGATACGTCTTTATTGTAAATATATGAAACAACAACAACAACAACAAAAAAAACTCAGATATATAAGCGTTATTAATTCGGATTCGGAAATATAAGCGTTGTATATTAAAATAAAACCTTGAAAATATTAAGTTAATTTTTATGTTTTTATTTTGACAAATAACGTTATCTCTGAATCCGAATTAATAACGCTTATATCTCTGAATCTAGAAACATAGACTTGGTACCTTATCTCATCTTGCGCCTCATATCTAGAATTTTCTGAAAAAAAAAGGACCGACAACACCAGGGTCCCTAATACCTGCTGGTATCAAGGCCCCCGGTGTCGTCGGCCCTGATACCAACAAGATATGGTATATCATTTTGTAAATGGAAAAACACATTATTACCACCTTTTTTAAACACCTCTAAAGTTTGAATTGTAAATATTGCCAGTTAAAAAAAACTTCGACTTCGATCAGTCTTTCAGTCTTTTTGATTAAAAGTTTAGACTGTAGACCGCCCTTTTTCGAGTTGAAGTATTGAATTACTATAGAAAACAGTTTAATTGCCCCACGACTACTGCTATTAGTAGCTACTTTAATAGACAGTTTTTTTTGTTCTTCTATATCTTTTAAAACAGATGAGACAGCATTTAAAGCAAATACATGATCAACAATTGCTTCAATTTTTGTTTTTTGTTAGCACATAAATACTTTTTGGCTATTTCAGAATCTGAAAATATTATTTCAACTAAAGATAAGGTACAAATATTTAATATGTAACTATAATGATGCTTTACTGTGTGAAATGCAATAGCGGCTTCTGCAGGTGTAACTTGATCCTCTGATTTAGAGTTTGGTGTACAAAAAAAGTCAGTCATTTTGCTAAATGACTTTTGCCCTCTGATGCATTTTTTATGTCTATACCATCAGCAAAATCATAACTACCTTTGATTGCAACAGAAACAAATGTGTCACAAGTAAAACACTCCGTCTCATATTCATTTTCTCCTTTTTTGAAGGATGGATGTTTCTCTTGTAACTTTGATGAAAACTGTGTTTTTCTGTTTGGCATTAGTAATTCAATTTGTACATTATTGTAATTGTTCAAATTGTAATATTCCGACGTTATTTCATATCGAAGAAATATGCTGCTAAAATAAATAATTCAAAAACGTCTAGAAAGCTCCGTATTTACAATCCAAATTTACACAGTATTGAAAAGTTTTCAATGAAAATTAAAAGAAAACACACTAATGCATTTAATGCGCTAAAATGCTTTAAAGCTATATCATTCGAACTCA